CTTAGGAACACATCTAGCTTATTATGATGGCCCTTAATGCTTCCAAGATGTAAATACTGATTTCTAGATCCTTAAAAACACCACAGTTTTACAAGATAATGATTCAGCAACGAAACACGCACTGTCATCTAAGTGCTGGCACAGGAAGGTTTTCGTCTAAGAGATTAAATGCTCTGCCTTAAGAGCAGGGTGACAACGAATTAGCTGCAGAGACATCTTGGGTAATGAAGACGGCAAGGCAAAACAAACATGAGCTGCTGCTTTATGTAAGGTGGTTTGAAAGGTTCCTTGTGTGTTTACACGTCTGAGGCTTAAGCACGGAAGGCGGGCAGCAGTTTTTAATCTGAAATGGAGACAGAGCCACGAGGTGCCTGTATAAAAGGGCTGTGGGATGCTGCTGGAGTAAGACGTGGGCTCTGAGACATCAGGTCTCTTCAGCATGGCCACACTGTCCCAAGGGACTGAACGAGCGGATCAATGGAGAGCATTCTGTGTCGCTACAGCAGTGTCTCTCTTGACATCTCAAAGTGCCTGGCAAATATTAACTGCTCCCGAGTGATGACTCTCTTGACAGATGAGCATTGCTCTCAGCAGAGGAGACAGCATGGGGAAGGAGTGCAAGTAGCTCTTGCAGCAAATCAGTGACACTTTAATTAAACCCAGGTATTTCAGTCTACATTTGCTAGGGGTTTTAAGATTGTTATTACTACCAAAATTTCTTTCTTGGTTTGAAGAAAGTGAGTTCCAGTTGATACGTGACAGCGAAGAGCAAATATACGCCACCGGGATTAGCAGACACACCAGCCTTTCTCACCTCCTGTCAAGACACTTCCAGCCAGCCCTTCCAGGAGAGTTATTAAGCAAAAGCGCCAGTCCCAGGAGAGCCTGTTCCTGTCTCTCAGCATGGTGTCCCTGGGTCTTCAGCCAGCAGGTCCTTGCTCAGGAAACTGCCTTGACAAAGCAGTCGAGGGCCCTCTGTCAGAAATTTGGAAGGACCTCTGGAAGGCCAGATATACTAACGACATTGCAGCTGTATTAGCAGCTTCCAAAATCGAGGTGACAAAGGAGCGAGCAGCTCAGGGGCTGGATTCAGCCCAGGAGGTGTTTCTTCCCTGGTCCCTACGAACACCGGTCAGACCCCAGACAGAGTTGGGCTGCAGGCAGGGTTGTGAAGGGGGAGGTACGTGCCCAAACTGCATCAGATGAGAATTATTAGGTCAGGATATATCGTTCTGACATCTGAACAACCTGCTTTGGAAACACAGTGTGAGGAAGGCATCTGTACTGTTTGCATGGGATGGCTGGAGCAGCCAGCGTAGGTGGAGAAACCCATGCAGATGCTGGCTCACTGCTGGACTCGTGGCCATTCCCCATACGCTAGGCTCCTCTCTCAGGAATTTCAGCTACGGGAGCTCTTTGCATGCCTCTTCTTCCTAAGGTGGTCTCTAGCCCATCCAGTTCTCAGGTGATGCCATTTTTTTTAAGATTAACATTTCAGCCTTCTTGACCCAAGCAGCATCCTTGCATTTAACGTGGAAAGAGGGAACGTAACCTCCCAGACACACAAAAAGCCAGGAATCACAGCCCCTGACATGGGCCAGCTACTGCAGGAACATCCATAAGCACCCTCCCTGAAACCCTTGGAAGTCAAAGTGCCTCCCCCAGAGTGGGCAGCAACATTATTTCAGCCCTGGTGGCTCCATCCTGGGCACCTCTGACTTCCGCAGTGGAGGTCCACCTTCACTACGCTTTTCTGGGTGATTGCCACACTACATTTGAGGCAACCCAGTAGGAGACCTTTACCTTAAAACCTCTTGTATGAACTGGGCAGATGGGAAGAGCCTAGTGTAAAGGCCATCAAAGGCTGGTGGGTGAAGGTAGACAGCTCTCCATACCCTTGATGAGCAGTGGACTGTTCCAGGCACTTAGGAAACACCCTACTGCTGACTGAGAAAGACCAATGATAACTATGGGGTGAGGCAACATAATGACAGCATTCCCATTTCTGAAGGGAAGAGGCAACAAAGGAAGGAAAGGTGTCACTCAGGATGACACAAGGAAACCCACCTGACGCAGTACCTGGTGTCCAGGGAAGAGGAGGACACCTGAGCAGAGAAAGTTTCTGAGCATGGCAGGAGCAGAGCAAGATTCACTCCCAGGACAAGCGGTGAATGCCTGCCGACCAAAACCCACTGCTCAGATTTCTGGCGTCTGCGTCTTCTTTTCCTACAACCTACATCTGCTGTGAGAGCCCAAACCCACCAACCCAAGAGCAGGGATGCTCTGACCCCGCTCCCGCAGTGCAGGGGGTTTGGTCGGCAGGGTGAACTGCTGCCTCTGAAGCACAGAAAAGGAAAAGCAGAGGCATAGTCAAGTTTGCTCTGGCACGTGGGGGCTGGAGGGCCAGCCATCCACTGCCAGACTTCTCTCAGATCACCAGCCTCGCCGCACAGATGTGTTCATGAACCACCGCGGCTTGGCTTAGCTCTGCGAACCAGCTGCTTCCCATGCTCCGGCTGCTTGCCGCCACCTTGCCCAGGGCTCGGGGAACACGTCTGCAGAGCTGCTGCAGAAGTGCTGAGCTCTCCCGGGCCCTCGGCAGGTCCACCAGACCTCCAGCAGCTGCTGGGGATCTTTCTCTGCTGAGGAAGACCAGGTCCAGTCCTGCCAGAGGCTGAGAGCCTCCGTAAGGTGCCTGGCCCAGCCTTGCAGATGGGCTGCAGCAGCAAGAGCAGGTCTGCCTGCAACAGCAACAGTGCCAGCAGCAGACGGTGGATCAAAAAGCCAGATCGGATGGGGGCAGTGGTACCAGGCAACATCACGGCCACAAACTCTACCGGTCGCAACCCCAAAACAGCCACTGAGGAATGTAAATAGGATGGGCATAAACCAAAGTCATAATATTATGATTAGCCACGTCACGGCTGATATCACAAGCCACTTGGCCAAAGCATGGTGGTCCCGTAGCCTCATGGCACAGAGGAACAAGTCAGCACCAATAAGACACCCTGTATCTATGAGACCTTCTGCACCAGCACCCACCACTGACCCAACAGCTCTGCAACTTCAGTGAGATGGGAAGCCCGCGTTCCCCCTCTCAAGGTAGGGAAACATCCTTCATTTCTCTGATAAGATGAGCTACAAAAATAGCTCTGTAAATGTTGCTACCTACCACCAAAACCACGCCACAGGAAAACTGAAGAGTAAGAGCTCTTTACATATTTCCTCCAAATCTCTTCCTTAAAGCCTCACAAAAGCTTCAGCTGGAATAGGGACACTAGAGATGCTCCAATCTTTTTTAAGCCTGCTTGTCAAAACACACGCTACAGAAGCACACAGCAGCGCTACAATGAGAAGCACTGAAATCTTGGATGACTGTTAGTAGAGATCACAAAGGCACCGTTATAAGTCTTTGCCAAATGTGTGTTCATTTTGTCACTGCATCCACGATGACTCCATAACCTCCTGGGATATCGCTCTGATCTCCCAGAAAGCCATGTGGGATTAAACGGCCTGGGAAATGGCTCTGGCTGTATTTTCAGAAGTCTTTAGCTGCCAACAGTCTTGGAAAGCTGATGATCAGCACTGCCTTGGGGTGAGTGGACAGAAGAGCTCCCTGAAAACAGACTTTTCACTGCGGACCTAGGAGACTAGCACGGAGTTTTAAAAACTTTTGGTGGCATAAAGGAAGAGGAACCAGCAGAAAACTGAAGAACAACCCCCCCCCGACACTTGCGCTCCCCATCACAGACAGCGAGCAGGCAGCTCCGTAAGGCGCTCCGTGACACAGCCTGCCATCCCCGGTGCGCCCCGGACGTGCCTCCTCTGATGTCAAGAGTAACTTGGACCGAACAGCGAGGGAAAATGCTGCCTCAGTGCTCACTGCGTGCTCGGGCATTGCTGGGAAGCAGCTCTGCAGGAACGTTTTGGAAAGCAGCAAAGAAAGAGCAGGAGCAGAAGTACAGTGAGTTTCGGAGGAGAAAAGGTTTTCTCAACCCAATTCCTTCTGAATCCTCCAAAACCATGCTCCTCTGACAACCCTGCACATCAGAGCACTCTTCCACAACTTCAGAACCACCTATGGCGTTTTTTTCAGAAGAAACAGAGCAGGAGCAGCACAAGGTCCCACATGCAACATGCTCAGCAGCACGATGCACAGCTGCTTAGTGGTCAGGCCAGAACCAAACCTCTCAGCGCGGCTTTTAATAGAGTTTGACCTTATCCAAATAATGATGGTATCAGACACATCCTTCCAGCAAAGAGACAACCTTCTTGCCTCAAAGGTGCCATGCTGCGGCGAGGCTCTGCAAATGCTGGGTGCAACAACACAACTGGCCTGCGAGTGGAAGCTCCTCTTGCACTTTAATACGGGTCTCAGAGGTTGACAGCTCTAAGTGCTCCGCTCTCGCTCCCTTGCTTATGGACTGTCGCAGCCAGCTCAGAGCCATGGCCAAGGGCACGCGCGAAGTAACCAACTGCTTGTGTTAGTGGGGTGATCTGCAGATCCTTTGTTCGTGTTGATGAATATGGTGGCCCCAGAGAGCCCCTTCCTTTCCTCTCACCGTGCTTTACAAAACACAATGGATGGAAGATGACAGGCATCAACGTCAAAGCACGGGCTGCGGAAGACATGCTTCAAGATCAGCCCATTGCAACACAGAACGAAACCCTTCAGTTCTCCAAAGCAGCTCATCTGTGTAAACCCAGAGCAGAGGGAGCCAGAGGTGGGAAAGGTCACCCCTGCATCCCCCGCTCCCTGGCCGCCAGGTCCCAGCTCTGTCTCTCAGGCTCAGTCAAGCTGTCCCGATTCCCTCTGACCTGATTTAATGATTTGCATATGCCCTGAAGCCAAAATGATTGACAGCCCTTCCACCGTTATCCTCACAGCAGCTATTCTTGTACATTCAAATGTCTAATCTTAGCAAGCCACAGAGCTGCTCGGTAACATGGACCAACCGGGAATTTCCATGCAATTACTGACCACGGCTACTGGCACTTACTTTGGCTGGTAAAAGTCCTTCTTGTCCGCTGACCCCAGGCTCTGCAAGACACAAAAGACAGGTGTATTTCTTTAACCCTTTGCCAAGCAAGTATCATTGATGAAGATGTGTGGTGAGCAGGAAAAGGCATGTGTCTGTGACTTTCGCTGCCTGGTGGGTATGTGTGGGCTGGCTGAACAGGGCAGGCAGCTCAAGACCTCCAGCCGCCAAATGCGCTGTAGGTAGAGCCCACAGCAGCCAAGGGTGTAAAAATAAAGAGTCAAAGCAGAGGTGTGGGGATGCGTTAGGTCTGAACCCAATGTATTCAGGCATGTCTGTGTCTCCCATCACTTGCAGAAGCGTGGCACATTGTGTCAGGAGGGGACTCATGTCCTCTCAAGCCTACCCAGCTGCAAAGAGGATGAGGTGCAGGGCTGGCAGGGAGACCGAGCCACCATCGCCTGCAGTGCGTCTCAGGCAGGGCAGGGGACTGAGCCCAAGGCCCACAGCCACTCCCCAGGGACCGGACCACAAAATTCTTCTGCTGAGAAAAATTACATCAGACCCCAAGCATGTGCAAGCCTGGGAAGCAGAGACAGCCCGATGCACACTCAGGTTCCCATGTGTCAGCATTTTCCTGAGTGCCGCCAACTGCACTGACAACAAGGTCTAGTAGAAGTCTGACAGCATCCCAACCTGGGCTGCCGGAGCCCCAGGGCCCCCTGGGAGACCCCAGCCAGGCTGAGCCTCCCCGCAGGGAGCCCAGGGGCGACGGGCATCCTGCAGACCCCGCTTTGGGTGCAAGGCAGGGCACGTGCGTGACACGCATAGAGAGCACACATGCACCGCTGTGCCTTGCCCTGCTGTCCGATGGGGCCGTATACACCTACATACACCCGAGTCTCTGCCCTCCAACATGCCTTGTCCTGGAGGCACCCGCAGCGGAGGCTGTCCCCCTCCGAGGCCCCAGTTCATGGCACGTGCTTGCGGAGTGCGGAAGAGCCCCCACCACCCAAGGGACGCAGAAGGGCAGGCTGTGCCAGACATAGCGGGATGCTCACGGCGGGTGGCGCCGGGGCAGACAGACAGACAGACCCACCAAACCTGGGTGTCAGCAAAGCCGTCGCACTGCTGTAGCCCTCTCCTCCTCCTCCTCCTCCTCCTCCTCTCGGGGACGGTCCTCACCTTTGTGCCTTGCCGGGATGGGGGATGGTGGGCAGCAGCATGGGGTGGCCCCGCCACCCACCCCGTCCCTGTCCCCGCACAGGCAGCGGGCGTGTGCCAGCGTGCGTGCACGCTCGCGGGAAGCAGGCTCGGGCTCTGGGGCTGCTGTTGTAGTTTTGCTCCGTGGTTGCCAGGCAATGGCGACTGCGAACACCAAAGCAGCGGGGCCGAATGCTAATCAGGGGCGCAGGAGCTCTCCCCGCGCTCTCTGCCGGCGCTCCCCTCGCTGGCCAAAGCCGCTGGCTGCTCTGCCCCTGGGACTGAAAAGCAAGTGGGGGGAGGAGGGCCCCAGCTTTTAAGCAGGCAGGGATCCACTGTCACCAAAACATCCTCCCAAAAGGGAACTCTGGCCAAGCCAGCAAGATGGGCTGACCTTCTCCCCAGCGTAGAGGTGTTGGTCGGACAGTGGTGCAGGGGGGCTGCAACGAAACCCGCAGCGCCGGGTATGCGGAGCTGGATGTGTGCCACACTCTTGCACGTCTCACGTGCCCATGGGGCCAGGGGACACACCTGAGCTCCGTCTTGGGGTAGAGCTTGCAGTGCACAAGGAGCAGCCCTTTGGGGTGGGAAGATCTCACCTGCCCACGTGCCAAATGCCGTGCCGGCATGCAAAAGCTTGATGGGCTCTGAGCAATCCCCACCGGGCAGAGACAGCGGCACCCTTTGGCTCTCCCTCTGCTTCCCCTCCTTTGACACGACAGAAGCTACAGCAAAGCCCCACGGGATTGATGGCCAGACACCAGAATGGGGTGGTCAAATGCTTGCACGGGCTGCCCAGAGAGGTGTTGGAGTCTCCAGCCTTGGACACATTCAAAACCCAACTGGACATGGTCCTGGGTGTCCAGGACAACCAGGTGTAGGTGACCCTGCCTTGAGCAGGGTGTTGGACTGGGTGATCTCCTCAACCACCCAGTGCATTCCTGAAGCAGCAGAGAAAAGAGCACAGCAGTAACTGCACAGAGCAAATGCCCTGGGCAATGGGACGTGTCCTCCAAGCCCACAGCACGTCCGGGAACAACTCCACTCCCTCGGGCACAGCATTCCCATGAGATATTTCCTTACTTCTTTAAACTTGACACCTAAAGCCCAGGGTGCCAGCTCCCAAACTATGGATTGACTGCAACGAGGGTGATGAGCCATGACAAATTCAGTTCCATCTGATATCTGTGCTCGCAGGGATCACGGAGAACTGTTGATATTTAAGGAGAAACCACTCGCAAACAGCTTTCTCAACACCACTGAAATGACACATGGAAAACCTGTATCCCGTGCAGTCAGACCTCTGCTGCAGCTGAGGTCCATGGGAGAAAGCTCTCATCAACCCCATAAGTCCTTTGCCAGCTCCAGGCAGTACCTGCCCTTTCTAGAGCACTGAGAACAGCAGGAAACAATGCTGATGCTCTTCTACCTTTCTAAAATGCTGGGGGGACTATCACTATCACCAATATTCCCAGCACGGGAGATGGCAAAATCAGCAGTAGCCCCTTCACACAGTCATGGGTATCACGGGCGTTAACCTCCCCTCATCTGTTGCTAGGATGGAGGTGCAGGTCTCTGAAATCAACCCCTAACAAGGGAAAACCACATGGAAACTTGGGGAAGAAGAAAAGATCACCTTGCAAGTTCAGCTCTTGCAGACAAAGGAGGTGGAGGAGCTTTAGCGAAGCCGCATGCTCTGTGCCGGCGCCGTGCCACGGCTGCAGGTGAGCAGCACCACGGGCACGGCAGCCTGCCCGCCCCTCCGCACGCTCCACGGCTCACAAGCCCGTGCAGTCCACAAGCCGCTGGCAGGATGAGCTACACGAGCATGCTAAGAGAAGGGGTTACCTTGAGCTTATCAAGCAATTGTTTTTTAAGAGTCATGGAAAACTGAGAAGGTTTTAGATATCTGCAATAAAACAATGAGGCACTAACTTTGCAGAGCGGAAAAAAACCCCAAGCAATAAAATGGGGAGTGATCACAGCAATGATTAGCCAAAATAGCTTATTTTAAAGCTTATTAAGAAAATAGCAAATGGGGAGGAAAAGCAGAATTCCAGCAACGTGTCCCAGGAATCGGGCCTGGAGCAAGGCCAGGAGCTGTGGATCAGCTCCTGGCTCTACCACCACCCCAAGGTCTGGCCTTGAGCCATTTCTTCCCTCTTCATGCCTCAGTTTCCCCACATTGCCCCTGCACAGCCCTTTGCCTCCTTACTCTCTTCCCAGAAGAGAAAGGAACCATGCCCAGCAGTCAGATGAAGTTACGCAGGTCCATCCCATGACGTTGCATTTCTTTCTCCCAAGCGTGCACAAAAGCAAAGTGGTCGTGGATCTAGAGGGCTCCCGGAGAGCAGCTGGAAAGCACTTGGCCACAAGAATCACCAGCAAATGGAGAAGAGCTTGCTGGTGGATGGCAGAGGTGATGCCTGGGCAGGAGAAGGTGCTCAGGGCCAGCAGCAAGACCCAAGGCAAGGACATGTTTTTGACCACCTCTAAGCAAGATCCTCATGAAAAAGTGGAAGGAGGAGTGAGTGCAGGCACACGTGGTGTCACAGCAGGAGCCACGGACAGGGACTGCCCACCGAGGAGGTTAATAAACCAGGTAGAGGATAAACCAAACGACACTCTGCTTTGAAAACTACAAGTGAAGCAGCACAGAGCCATCAGCAGGAGGAAGGAGGCGAGAAGGCAGCGATGCCCTAAGAGACCACAGGGCACCTTGGGGCTGGCCTGACTTTGTGCAGCAGGTCACTACAAGATGCAGCTGTAGTAAAATTAAAATGCCCAAGGCATTTTGCCAAGGGCACGGACAGAGCTCAGCGCAGCACCTGGAAAGATCCTCCCAAGCAGGGGAACTGGCCTTCACTGACGGCTTAAAGGTATTAATTAGAAAGCACTTAGGGAATCGGTGATGGGAGGCTGCGGGCCGCACCGAGCGTGGGTGCTGCCTGCTTTAGCGCGGTGCCTGAAGCGGCAGGAGCCGAAGCATCTCCCCTGAGGCAGCAGCGTAGGCTGTGACAGTGCCACCAGCCATCACCTCTGTCCCACTGCACCGAGTACCGCGGCCTCAGCCAGCATCCACAGAGGAAGGTTATGGAAAAGTGATCAAGGGAAGGACGGGCCGTAAGGAAGCAGAGCGGGGTAAAGGGAACATGCAGCCTGGATCTTCGGAAAAATGTCCTGGCACTGAGATTGAACAGAGTTTGAACCAACTCCAGTGGGAGGGATAGAGCAGCGTTTCTAAGGGCTTTGAAAAAGCCGACTAGATAAACCATTGAGACTGGCGCAGAGGGGACAGTTCTGGCCTTACAGGGAGCTGGGACCAGCTTTTCTCCTCCTGCCTGTGCCTGGGGACGGAAAGAGGCAGAGAGCTCCCAAAAATGAGCAAAAGGTGACCTGGCATTTTCCCCTGCCTTCTGGGAGGAAAGATCAATTCCTCCTGAACGGATATGGGATCTGGAGGCTTTTATCTATGCAGCTATACAATAAAAAAATCAAATGCCAGCCTACATTCACGCACTGTTGTTGGTTGATCTACGGGCTTCCAGGATAGTTCTCTGCTGGTGGCTCCTGTGCATCAAAGCATAGCTGGGGTCTCCAGAGAGGCACGGCTGCGGTGTAATGGCTCAGCTCCCAAAATAAATCTGGGAGACCCAGAGGCTCCCAGAGACCTCCTGCTGCTGCTCAGGATGCTGGGGAGACCCTGGCCTTCCCTGGAGGGATGAAGGGAGTGGAGCATCCCCCAGTTCAAAGAGTCCCCTGCAAGCCCCGAGCCCCCCCGCAGCATGAGTCACCCTCCAGCAGGACCCGCTGCGCTGCTTCTCGCTTGCTCACTTCATTGATGACTCAGGGTTTAGGA